GAGTCGAGTCGAGTCGAGTCGAGTCGAGTCGAGTCGAGTCGAGTCGAGTCGAGTCGTAGTCGAGTCGAGTCGAGTCGAGTCGAGTCGAGTCGAGTCGAGTCGAGTCGAGTTTTGTAGACTGTCGTAGAGTACAGATAGAGCGTCGTAGAGTACAGTAAAGTGTCGTAGAGTAGAGTGTTGTAGAGTGTCGTAGAGTAGAGTGTCATAGGGTAGAGTAGAGTGTCGTAGAGTAGAGTGTTGTAGAGTGTCGTAGAGTAGAGTGTCATAGGGTAGAGTAGAGTGTCGTAGAGTACAGTAGAGTGTTGTAGAGTGTCGTAGAGTGTCATAGAGTAGAGTAGAGTGTCGTAGAATGTCGTAGGGTAGCATATCGTAAAGTGTCGTGGAGTAGAGTGGAGTGAAGTGCCATAGAGTTTCGTAGATTAGAGTGTCGTAGAGTGTCGTACAGTAGAGTAGAGTACAGTAGCTTACAGTAGAGTGGAGTAGCGTAGAGTAGAGTAGAGTAGAGTGGAGTGGAGTACAGTAGAGTGTCGTAGAGTGTCGTAGATTATAGTAAATTGTCATACAGTAGAGTCATAGTGTCGAAGAGTAGTGGGGTTGTAGAGTACGGTGTCGTACAGTAGAGCAGAGTAGACTGTAGTAGAGTAGAGTGTCATAGAGTAGAGTAGAGTGTCGTAGAAAAAAATGTTGTAGAGTAGGGTAGAGTACGTACAGTAGAGTGTCGTAGAGTACGGTAGAGTACATACAGTAGAGTGTCGTACAGTAGGGTAGAATACATACAGCTGAGTGTCATAGAGTAGAGTGTCGTGAAGTAGAGTAGAGTAGACTGCTGTAGAGTGTCGTAGAGTAGAGTGTCGTAGAGTAGAGAGTCATAGAGTAGTGTTGTAGAGTGTCGTAGAGTAGAGTGAGTGTGTGTACGTGTGCGTGTGTGTATCTTGTGTGTGTGCCCCCGTATATGTGTGTGTGTGTGTCTATATGTATCTGTGTGCGTGTGTGTATGCCCCCATGTGTGTGTGTATATGTGTGTATGTGTGTGTGTGTGTGTGTGTGTGGATGTGTATGTGCGAGTGTCAAGTGTGTGTCTGTGTATGTGTGTGTGCTCCCGTGTGTGTGTGTGTGTCTGCGTGTGTGTGCGTGTCACGTGTCTATGTGTGCGTGTCACGTGTGCGTGTGTGCCTCGTAGAGTAGTAGTTTTTTTCAAAGTTGTGGGCCAGCCCCTTGCCCCGCACACTTCGGACTTGGATGCGTCACCACACACAAAACCTGCACCCCCTAAGAAGTGCCCATGGATTTTTTTCCTAATAAATATTTTAACCACCACTGCCCCCGCCGTCTGAAATTTGGGGGGACGGGTGGCACAGGTTCACGAGGGCTACCGGTAGCACAGTGGGGAGAGCTGGCAAGCGGCAAAAATGTAAATTCATCAAATTGCTACCGTGATTTTTTTCGCAGTTGAAATGATTTTTCCTGCGCAGCACAGCGAACGTGTTCACACCCCTTCACGTTCGCGCAAACATGTTCACACGTTCGCGCGAACAGCTCACGAACATGTTCGGGTGAACATAATTTTTTTTCGTAAAAAATAATAATAATAATAAAATATTTTTTTCGGTTTTTGATTTTTTACCTAGGTTCCTGGATCGGACATCTGGTACCCCCCTGACCGTCCGGGATGTCCGACCGGATGTCGGACCGGACAGGGTATGTCCGACCTAGCACAAAAAAAAAAAAAAAAAAAAAAA